ATTATACAAATTATAACAAATCTTAACAGGTCATGGGCCCAGTATTGCTTAAAACAATTCTGGTTTGTTAATTTGTTTTGTGTAATGTGTTATATCAGGTGTGTCGGAGCCATGGGGAAAGATACGGACCATATCACGACGTTAAAGTCGGCAGAGGATTTTCCCCTATGGTCCAAGGAAATAAAGCACTATTTCCACTATCAAGAAATATGGGATGTTGTAGAAGGTACGAAGGTTTTGAAAGATATTGACATCGCACAGATAGAAGAAAGGAAAAGGTGGAAAAAAAAGTGATGGTCAAGCGTCCACCACTATTCTAAGTACAATTGATCCTTCAGTGAAAAGACACATTTTATCATGCGAAACAGCATCTGAAATGTATACCAAACTGAAGAGTATCTATGAGCAGGATACTGCTCAACAAAAATGTGTACTTCTCCGATCCTTCTACAATTACAAGTATAATCCATCCAAAGATGCCCAGGAGAATATAGCCATTATTGAACATATTCAACATAGATTGAATGCTTTAAAACAACCAATAGATGATACCATGGTGTGTGAGAAGATTTTGGATACCATACCTAAGGAATGGGACCATATAAATTCAGCTTGGGAGGCAACGGAAGCAAATAAAAGAACACTATCAAACCTGACCAGCCGATTGGCAAAAGCGGCAGGAAAATCAGGACATGAAGGACCAGAAGAAGAAAAGAAAACTGTGTGCTACCGAGCTGAAGCTAGCAGATACAAACCAAAAAAGAAGGTATGTTACAAATGTGGTCAACCCGGACATTATCAGCGTTTCTGTCCAGAAAACCAAAAAAACAAGGCATATCCCCCATGCAAAATATGTTCAAAAACAAACCACCCAGAAAATGCTTGTCATTTTGAACCCGGAGACAAATTCTACGACTCAAAAAAACCACAATCGCAAAAGAGGACTTGGACAGAGTCACAAGGTGGCTCCTCAAAATCAAATGAACAAAAAGAGTATAAAAAAACCAAAATATGATAATAAAGGTGACAAGAGATCACATTCTTCTGAAAAGGGGAGAAAAGTAAGTACAGAAACAAAATCAAACTATGGTAAGCTGTGTGCTACCAGTAATAACTCAGGCAAAAATATCGTTGGTGGAGAGCTGTGTGCTTCCATAGCAATGAAATGCGAGAAAAGAAACTGTCAGCAATCTTGCTGTGTAAACGTAACAGATTCAAGCTCCTCTCATGTCTGTACACAATTCTGTGTAGACAGTGGATGCACAGCCCACATGACCGATAATGTGGAAATAATCAAACACTCTACTCCCACCAACGATGTTATAAAGACTGCCAAAAAGGAATTAAGCATGAAATCCTTATGTAGAGGTAAAATGATAACTGACCAACTTGGCTCACAGAACATTCGTTTTGTTCCAGACCTAGACCGAAATCTGCTGTTTCAACAATTACCGAGCAAGGAAAATCTGTGTGTTTTACAAAAGATGGAGTGCAAATAATCAAAGGAAATATTAAAATACCAAAAGAAAACATTCTGGTGGAAGGAACAAAAACGACAAAAGGACTATTTATGGTAAATCTACATGTAGAGAAGGAAAATTTATCTCTATTGACAGAGAAAGTTAGTGAAAGTGAAGCTATCATTCTGCACAGAAAAATGGGACATATGGGTATGCAAAATGTGAAGAGATTACCCAAACTTTGTGATGGTGTGAATGTGGAATTTACAAAACAAGATATGAAGCTTATATGTGAAATATGTAAGAAGGCCAAACAGTCAAAGGATCCACATAACACATCTAGAGAAAGAGCAACTGGTCCACTGAAGATCATTCATGCCGATGTGTGTGGGCCTATAACACCAAT